GACCTTTTTATGAACAAGTCCACCACAACTTTATAATACCGCCGCAACTCTTGTAAACCAGGTTATAGAGTAGAAACAACCATGAAAACAGACACGAACATTTCTCGGATCTAGGAACAAAATAAAACAATTGATGATCATCAGAAAAGGAAAAAGTATTCACCTCACTCGGTGAATCAAATGTAAGAGACAGAATGACCTACGTATTATGAAAATTAAAAACCCCACACCTATTTAAATGTTCCCTTTCATTCCTCCATTAATTTACGCATCTTCATACAATATAAGTGAAATCTCAATATTATAGAAGCAAACAAATAATAAAAACTGGTGCAACTGGCTAGTACATACTCAAACACGAACATGCAATCAATCGAAATTTGGTAATCGATTTTCAACTTTTTGTATACTTTTATAAAGTCTAAAATGTGTAGATGAATTTGGATACCAGATTGGGATACCTGTATACGCGTTTGTGCGTATAGGTGAGAGTCTCTCTCTATGGTGAACCACTTATCTGAGGCGTATAAGGCGAGGCGACAAATCGTCGCCATTCAAACAGTTTCACTCAACGCCTCAGGCTGGACTCGTCAGGTATTGCTTGAATGTTGATCTGACAAACACACAGAAACACAGACCTGTGAATCTTTATTTCTGTGGGTGGTTTCATTTTTGTTTTTTATACAAAACGCTTCGGATGTGCAGTCGCTACTGGCAGGTAAGTATTAGTCCTACTAAGTTTGTGAAAATGCATATTGGATGTATGTTTGTTGTTTCTTCAAACAAAAAGGGCTGGACTGATTTGTTAGAAATTTTGTTTGTAGATAGGTGATACCCCTTTTGGTGAGGGGAAAACCAATAATTAACTTTTCCTGCCCAGAGTGGGGCGTGAGCGAGTGTCAGACTCTTACTTCTTTTTTTTTTTGTTTTGTTTATTTTTTTATAAACGTTGCCCCACTTTAGGATTTTCTCCTGTGTTGTGGGTGCGTTTACAAATATACAATGTCACATACACATGACACCCAGACCCGAAACAACAATTTGTGGATCACACAAAGCGTTGTTCCGTGCGGGAATCGAACCCGCGACACGTTGCATGGCAGCCAGTTGCCCAGCCACTACACCAACCGTGCAGTCTTAATACTCTTACTCGTTACTGACTAAACGCCCCCGTTCCTTCTCCTGCTCTGGGCCGAGGTCGCGGTGCCTCATTGCGCTTACCCTTCAGCCTCGGCAGATAGGTGATACCCTGAATTAACACATAAGCAGATTTTAATCAACATACCACACGGGCAAAGCCGCGGGCGGAAACTCAAGCATTTACCCACAATCCCTAACCTGATTAACCACGGCGTAAAAACAAAGTTGTTTGTTCTTACTCCATGCTGGTAACCTGCTTATTATTTTGAAATTAGAGATCTTTGGTGTCTAATAATAAAGTTAATAAAATCTATACATCTATCAATACAAGACCTCTTTTGAAAAATTGGTAGCATACACTTTTGTTCGCTAAAGTCACATCAGCTGATTTAACATCTCCAAAGATCAGTCAAGGTTATCCTAAAGCTTGATTAATGACTTAGCAAGCACAGACTTCATTCATACGAACACGTCCCAGCTTAATACCTTCATTAAAATGTACATATATAAGTAGCTATAATGAACGCGTTTGATTCCATGGTCGGCATCAATTGCTTACCATCAGGCAATCCGTCTACGTTTGCCGCACTATAACATTAAAAAATATGAATAATTAATTTATCTTTTGTAAGTATATTTTTATTTTACTGTTTCTGAAGCCTCTAAACATTTATCTATATCAAATACAAAATTAAAACTACATTCAACCGGTCACACGATAATCGAGGCACAAAATTAACCCTAAATTCGAAAAGAACAATCGAGAACATCTTTAATAGGTAAACTTCTAATCAATGGTTAAATTTTATTCAGTATCATTAATATGTTTATTGTAACCTTTACCTGCCGTTTACACATTTAAAAAAAAATCTTTTCTTTTTTTTTACAAAACGTTTCACATACACATCACATCCAGACCCGAAAATGCTATCTACATAACTTAAATGACATGAAAAAAATATCCACTTAACCATGCTACTAGTTCTCGTGTTCGTTAGCACAGTTTTAGATTTGGACATTTCTCAGTATCATTTTATTAATCTAGTCTTTTTCAAAATTGCGATCAAAAAAAATCAATGTATAAGTGTGTTAGAGCAATGCTTCGGCACGAATGGGTCTGTTCGAACCCAGTACCACAGCCTTACCTACCTAAAACCAACGTGAAATGACACTAACGTTGTATTTCACCTTGTGAGTCAGGTTAAAAGTCCAATCCACCTCGCTCTTATACCCAATCTCCAAACTCTTCAATCCTCAGATCTCTCACTTAACTTCCTTGGTTTCATTCCTTTAACATTCCGTGGGCGACACCAGTTGCTAACGATAAAGTTAGTTGCCGTATGCTAGTTTGCCGCTCTTTTCGACTGATGAATCAACAAGCTGCATCCTAAGCGACATCATTAACTAAAGCTAAAAATAAATACAATACGACCTTACCTACATGCTATTCAAATGTAAACGAAACCAGTTTTCATTAGATTTATTCAACTAAGTTCATTTTACTTGACCTAAACAAGGATTACTGTTGAATGCCTATTGGTTTTGTACTGATGCTATTCAGAATGTATAGATGAGGTCATGGCCGCCTAATAGGAGACATTATTCCTTTAAACTGTAAACATCAATGTTCTGATGCTAATTTTTCACAAAAGGTCTTTCAGTTTCATTCAATTCCTTTTATTCCAAGTAATCTTTATGTCATGTTTTAGGAAGAGATATACACAAAAGTACTCAGATTTGTAGGTATCTGTCTTTTTGTTTGGTTCGGTTGGAATCACCCCATTCGCCGTGTGGAAGACGCTTTTGCTGTTGTACTAGGGTACATACATTGATAATTCTGTTTCTCGAAACTGATTTAAAATTTAAATGTTAAATTCCACCCTTTTCCTTATAAAACAGCGCTTCGAGATTTGAAATAGCTTGAAAAAAGGCCGTAGTTAGTTAGCGTAGCTCTAGAAAAAGCAATATTTTTATTGATTGTAATTTATTGTACTTATGTAAAAATAAAACAACATTTTTCCAGGATAATTTCAAGAAAGTTTTTATTTGTTTGTAAACGTTAAACATCCAAGGAGACAATCTTACCGCTAAACCTCTATTCACAGTCGCTCCTAAACAAATAAATAGCTCACAAATATATAATCAAAAACAATATTCTAGTATCACTATTTATATTATACAAAGGCATTATTTTATGACTTGTTCTTGCAAATTATGGATCACTTTCAGTCACATGGAGTTATAACGCTTATAAAAAGTGTACGAATTCAAAACCCTTCATTTATTTTGAAAATGAGTTTTCGAAAAACTATATGGCCCATGTGTCCCACATAATAAGTTCTTTTTTCAAATTACACACCGTTACCAATGTGTTTGAAAAAAGAAAATCGAAAATCGAATAGTTGTTTTTTCAACCTTGTTTAAATTCAAACTTCATTCTATATTAAAAAAAATGATAGTCATCCATAATTTGAATGAAAAATATAAATTAACAAAATGCCACTAACTAAAAATGAAGGATAATAAATGTAACGAATATTTGGTATAATGGGTATAAAGAAAACTATCCTAAGTATAAATTAAAACATTTATATACCTTAGTCTATAGTTACATTACATTTTATATACATTCCTGTGAATGGATTAAAACAATGACAATGTATTTAAAACGAAATAGGGACATCAAACTTTTAATATTTCGACAATAGCTGGTCTTGGAATATAATTATGAAAGACTAATGGTTTCTGCCAGTTGTATAATTTATATCTGTGCCGAATTTCATTCTGATCTGCTCAGTAGTTTTAGTTTTGAAAAAGAAACAAACATCCATTCGTTGCGTTGCGTTCATAATATTATTAAGAAATCGTTTCCCTGTACTCAGAGCTATTTAACGGATACATAACTCAGACCTGAGCAATGATTTTCCAAATAAAACCATTACTAAAAAATACTTTAAGTAATCATTAAATATCTCCAAGTACGGCAGGGTAGCTAATCCAGAAATTGATGGTTTCGAGTCTACAGGGCATGTGATGTTTATCCCTGTTTAAAAAAAGACAAAATTCCTACATCGGAGGAAAAAATAGGGCAATACAGAACCTCATTTAAAAAAATCAATTCCATTTTTGTATTCGAATTTTAAAATGACTTATGTAATTTGTTATTTTTTCTATGAATGTATGTCCAAAATGTATTTAATATATAAGAACTATACGAGTATTGTTTTATAATATTTTATTTGCAAATAACTAGTACAAATGAGTTTCTAAGTTTAAATATCTATTTTATACTTCCATGTAAGCAATCAACTGGAGACATAATTTATTGCATTTTCAATTTTATTTATACGAAACATAATGACTATTTTATCTTTAATAAAAAGGTACAATGTATCGCATTCACTCCTATACTACAATAATTTATAAGTAGGTATAAATTTGGTATTTCACATTATAATTTAAAGCTAAAATTTCATATTGAGTATTCAATGTACTTACTATACATACCTAGGTACATTCCACACTAGGTTTACTGTAATATAGTATTATAAAAAGTATAAAGGACTCTAACACTACTAGGTATATAAAAGGTTCAAAATTATTTGATTTCTAAAAATCTCCAGATACTACATATAATTATTATGCAAAGCATTTTTATTAGTTTTAAGAGAATGACAATGAGGTGTAATATTAGAAATATCCATTTATTATGTATAAAAACGTATTACAGTATTATCTACACAGATGTTCTAAGTTCGAAAATAATTGTTCAATATTTTTAAAAGAAATAAAAATAAAGACAATCCTTTTTTAAATTTGTTACAGAACTTCAAAAAAGGTTTTTAATAATTAGTAGGTAACTTGATCAAAATGTTTTTTTTGTGATTTAATAGTGTTGCCTTATACTCAATGATTTCTGTCATGTAGCGATCGTACAATATTTGAGCAATATTAAATATAAAATAGAACAATATGAATTCATAAGTATTAGGTATATCAATAAGTGAAATATAAATAATTGTACAGCGGCTTCAGGCGTGCGAAATTCATAAGATTGTTGTTGACTAAGTTAAAATAATTTACAATAAAATCTGTTATAAAAATCTTGCAAACATATTTTTTGATTTACGCATCCCATGTGCTACCAAACTCCTTAAAGAATAGTATAAAATATTGTTACAAAATCATTGTATAAAATGTCTTTGAAATAAAGTTGAAATATTCATAAGTTGTGGACGAAATTGCTAAGTCTATATCTATAGACAATGAAAATGTGATATATGGCGACGATTAATGTGTCTACGAGTATTCAATGGACTACTCACATAATAAGCTCCAAAAATTTCTTATTCATTTACTTTGGTGTTACAGTTTGCCTAACTACTGGGTCCAAGGTATCGCTACAATTTAAAAATTTATCAAAAATTACTGACACTACTACATTCTTGTCCCAAAAATATCCACTACAAAATCTCTAATATCTGCTCAGACTATTTCGCTTTTCATAGTAAAAATTACTTTATTATCATAACCAATGTATTGTTTTTAATTCAAAAATTCTCAAAAAAATATCGTTAGGTCGATAGAATTTATTGTTCCCTCTGTACTATGGAATAATACGAGCTATATATACGTAGCTGAAAAAGAAAATATTGTAAAAGGAACGTATAAAACAATGTAACCTAATGGAAGACTTTCGTTTTGAATCAAAGTGCATCATAAACATTACGCATCGGCGATTGAGAGATAAACTGCTATAGTGGAATGTGGAATGAATACAATCTCTACAAATACTTACTCACTAATCCTACATACGCCTAAGTAAACAAGATGAAATATGAACACATAACTTATCCATTAATAGGTTCACATTCAATATATTAACAATACATTAAACACTAAAAACTTGCAGAAAAATTCACATCTAAAATGTAAAGCGCTAAAATCAATAAAATCCAACCCGTTTATTTGTGAAATACTGCGTCTCAACATCAGTTCCGCTATGATAATTAAAGCGTATAATAAAGCTACAAATAAATAACACATTAAAATATTTTAATACAATAACTTAACATTACAGCAGTCAACTTTCAAACGATGTGGCTAGTGAACACTGAACAGATGAAACCTTCCACTACTACTAATGAGTCGGTAGGACATGTTACTCATATCTAATTATTGTATCGATCTGGTGTCCACTGCAATTAGCTGAGACTATGGCACTAACATCCAACTACCACATGGCTACATTCATGATTCCGAAAGTACCACGGTTCACACCCTGAAAGACAGCGCTGTGCTCCAGTACCTCCGAGCCGGTCGCTACATGTAAGCAGGCTTCATCTTGTACGCTCGTTTCCATATCTCGCACAAGCACACTGTTGAGTGGAACCTGTAGAAAATAGCTAGGGGCATAGAAACATGAGTGATGATTGTCCAAGCCCACAGTCCATAGAAATGTAGTTGCACTGGATGAGACTCTGCTCTTGACTTCTCCAGAGTATTTATTGCCCACATTGCCAAGTTTGTCACCAATAGAAATGTCACTATTTCTCTTCCAGGCTTTTTCCGCAACTGTTCGGCCGTTTTCGCTGATCTTCGACTCGCATCGAGAATAAACATCGTCTGACACGTAGTCTGAATCAAGGAGGACAGAGCTGTTATCAATATAAGAATAGTATTCTTCTCTATTGTAAAATGGCCTCCAATAATTGTGAAAGTTCCGTAGATAAACATTCCAGTTTGGGCTCCTACCAGAAGAATATTGTCTAGTTCGAGATTTCGGTTGCCATCATATTTCAGCTTCCTAACGCACACCATTCCTGCTAAACTAGCAAATGTTGTCATAGCATACAAGGCTAATTCACAAACATTGACTTCAACTACTGCAAGAGTTGCATAATCCTTCTTTGATACCAAAACAAAGAAGAGTATCAATGATATTATAGTTAGTACCAAAACTAAGATTCCGAAGAAGAGGCCTTTGTGAGCTCGGGCACAGTCAACGCTGTATAAATGTGGGGATTTTTTGTAGGCCAGACCTTCTAGTATTCGAGCTTTGACTATAGCTGCCGCGACATCTTTTGATGGATATTTGGAGATGTTTTTCCACATGACGTAAAGGATTGCAGCGCAGATAAGAGAGTATTCAATGGTACAAGGAAAGAGGAAAGGGGATGCATCCTGGACAAGGGACCCCATGATGTTTGTTCGACGGCACTCGAAGATGTGGTGTGGGCCCTTCAGACCTCTTGGTACACGCAGGTGGGCAGCAGCAGGGTGAGAAGGAGGCACGTCGGTTGTCAACGAAGCAAACGCCTTTTGGAACGCTGGAATGAAAACAAATAGTATTAAGCAGAGTAATCGCAAGTCGAATTGAGTATCAATAAAGACCAGTTTATGTAGAGCAAGCCGTATTACTGTATAGCTAAATCATCCAATACGTATTATTTCCGATCGGCATGACAGGCTGGAATGTGGGTCACCATGCCTTCCGGGCGGGTCGGGTTGGAACGCAATCAACATAGCCTTCCTGACATTTCTCGATGATAAAGACAAACTAATTGGAAATCTGCATCTACCTTCATGCTTTGTTTACAAAGTATTTGTTTCGGTTAAAATAAAAAGAAATCGTAAATTCTATTTCGGAATATAAAATTGAGAAAGGGATGATTGGAACAAAATGCCATTTTATTAACTTTTAAGTAAAGTGCCTCCATTTTGTACGACGACGTTCGTCTTTACAATTGACGTTATAAAATTACGTAATCTTATCAAACGAATAATTTCGTTTTCTGTATCTATGTTAATATTTGATGTAAATAATTAAAGTAAGAGGCAGGCGAACACACGAGGAACATACCATATTATAACCATAAAATGCGCGATGGAAGTTGCAAAAGGGGTTAAAAGTGAATAAATTTTAACAAAGGGATGTTTCGGGAACAAATGAAGCGACCCGCGATCTCTCGTGTAGCAGAAATTACTTTAGGCGATATCCTTTGAGAATTATGTGCGCACAAATTTGTTTATTCATATTTATAAATTAATTGATAATTGAATAGAATGTGTTTTGGCTATGAAACATATTGTAAGTTTTATTTAAGATGATCCTTGGTAGAAAGAACTGTGTTCATGGGTTCTGTCATGTAATGTAATAGCTCTGACTACATTTATGTTTAATTGTAAATCCCATATATTTCTTTTAACGGGTTTTTAAGTGTCTAAAAATAATTTACTAAACAAATCTATTGAACAATTCTCAGTAAACCTTGTACAAGCTTACAGCCTTATACAACCTATAACTTACAACCTAATTAATACCTTATAGTTATCATAACAAGTTCCTAACCTTTCATAAAAACCTTTCAAATAAGTTAACGAAAATCTCAAAGTACCTACAATAACAATCCCACATAGATGACCAACCAAGCAAACAAAATGCTATCGTCAGCTTTCCCGCCAAATCGTTAGCTTTTATAGCGGGAAAAAAACATGAGTCGTTGGTCGACAATTGCTTTTTCGTAGCCTCAGAACGATGGCTTTTAATTCAGTTTGCTGTATGAAAACGTTCACAGATTTTTTTCAACACGACTATGTAGTTCTTCTATTTTACTTATGGCTTAGCCTTAATGTTAGTTTCTATGAAAGAATAACAAAGGAGTAGGCATGTGTTTTTGTCTAAGTATTATGAACTTTTTGTCAGCAGTTGTAAATGTTGCATTGTAATTTGAATTTCGATGAATAGAAATTTTAATTTCGAAATTGGTATACCCTAACCCAGTTTCTATGGTGGTAATCTTGCAAACAAAATTAATTACAGTAACTTATTAACAAGACGACGAAAAAAGGAGGCCGGAGGCCCAATCCTTCCCTTCCCCAATCCCTAAATCTCCAAATCCCTAAACCCTAAAAGGTCGGCAACGCACTCGTAACTCCTCAGTTGCGAGTGTCCATGGGCGGCGCTGATTGCTTACCATCAGGTAATCTCGTTTGCCCAGATATTACATAAAAAAAAAACCGTAAATTTTAATTTTCTTAAAATCTCTTTTTTGTGTTATGACACTTTTATTGAAGATTTGCAATGAAGTGATTATTAAAATTTAGATAGTCTGTCAAGATTTTAACACTCATATTAAATTTCAAGTTACCTGGCGTTCCCCTATGAATCAAATCAGTGAGAAACTTGTGACAATATCCCGCCACAGCGAGTGTTCACTGACAACGATTAATCCAATTATACCGGCAAATGAAATTATTGGAAAACTGTGTAACTTTGTTACTGTCATCAGTTTCAGTGTGAAATGTATTAGTTTAGGTCGGCGAGGCGTGTCGTGTTTGTTTTCATATCGATATTATAAGGTTAGAACAAATTTTCGATGTGTAACTTAGCTTTTGTATATAAAAAATACTGATTTTGAAAAGAGGTTTAAATTTTTTTTAGTTATAGGCAATAGTATTTTTTTATGGCATATGATATTATCTTCAATTAACCAAACACAGGGATCCAAACGAACGGGACATGCGTTATTTAAATTCATCATATTGTTCTAAGTTTAACTATGAGGCCGTATGTATGCCTAATAGTTCTCGATCTAAATATAAAAAAAAACACTTAACCCGAGCGCAGATCTGCGCGGGTCAAAATGTGTTTTGTATTATGTATGTCTTATATACCGGCAGTGAAATGATAAAAGGGCACATTAACCACATTATTACAAAACGGTTACCTACTCTATTACGACTTGTTGTACAAACGATACAAAATTAAGCATAGAGCACGTTGTTCTACTAGAGTACACTATATCGATTGCCACCATTGCCCACAAGCCCACAATAGTCGTAGTACAGCCGTGTCGCACGGCACTTCATTCAAAATGCCCACCGAACCGACAACACGAAAAACGAATTTATAACTATATTACTACGTACACAAAGCTTAGTTTTTATTGAATCTGTTGAATTCAATTATTATTATTCTTTGTTTCTTTTTTATGTTACTGCCAGCTAAACGGAAAAAAGTGTTATTTACGAAACGATAAATATTATTATTAATGTGTCGATTATATTCATAATAGTAGGGTTAATCGTATAAAATAGTTCAATGTAAAAGTAAAATTAATATAATATAAAATTTAAGGAACAAAGAAATAACACTACCTTTGATGATTTTGTTTTATGAAAGCACCTTCGTGACAGTTTACTCTTGAATTTTAATTTTATTTAATTGAAAGGAAGTAAAATGTATAGAACTACTACTTACACTTTATACTTTGCAAATCATGCTCTAATTATAAAAGATTCGAATATAGAATAAAAAAATAAAGTAGGTAAGGACTTTTTGCTGGTTTAAAAAAATGCAAGCCATTTTTGCCAAACAAAACTGTATGACGCCATGAAATAAAATAGAAAAATAAATATTAAAAGCAAAATTTAATGGCATCTTCAAATTTTCCTCGAACATCAGCCAGTGTTAAAGAGGGTCATAAAAACTTTTTTATTTTTTAACCTACCAAGAAAAGGTTTTATTTAATTAAATGTTCATAAAAAAATATCTAAAAAATGTAGCATGATAAATTAAATAACTTATAAAATATTTTCAAAATAAATTCGAATATATGTATGCCCAGCCCAGACTTAATCATAAATGGTGACAAATAAAATAATAAAATTCCACTTACCAAGTCTATGCGACAGTCCAATCGTTTTATTCTCTGGATCGTAGAAAGTTAGGATTTCGTGTTTCGTTTCTTGAACCAGCACGTTGAGCCAGACACTAAGATTGGTTCCAACCATATGCATCAGGCCAAACCGGGCTACAATCTTGTGCTTGTACACTTTCATCTGAAAAGTGAGTGATAGTGATAAATGGTAATGGCGGCTACACAATGGATGGTGCTGGCAACACTGTGAATTTAATTGATGGATAGCTGTTTACTCTGTGGGAATATGCCGTATAAATGTTTAATAGTGTTTATTTAATTAATAGGGAAAAAAGAATTGTTATTTCAATGTTTATGACTGGATTGAGTTGTTATTTTATTGAGAAGTTAAAGATCAGTCTTTTTCTAGAAGTTAAAATATTACACTTAGTTTTTAGCCTTGAACTCGTTACATAATACCTTAATAATAATAACCTCAATTGAGAACTCTTAACGCATATTTACAAACAGTAAACAACAAAAAACATAAAACAAATAAAATTTCTCGACAAAAGTTGTTATAATTGGACTTTTTACTACTTTTCCAAGGTTTCGAAAGCAATTCGAACGCCTACACATTTCGTTTAGCAAAGAAAAACAAGCAAGTACCTACAACGTCCTTAAATTTATTTGGAGTTCTGAATGAATGGTTTCCATAGAACTAATTAGTTCATTGATTATAATATTTAATATGGTTATAATATCTGAGCTCTATTCACTTATGCGTCTATTGTTCTATTTTTAAAAAGACTTTTAAAATCTTTTTTACTTAGAATAGGTAGAAACGAGCAGATGCATTGATATCTGACGGTAAGGAGTAGGCGCCACCCATGGAAACTCGCGATATCAAAGAACTTACAAGTGCAAATGAATTATGAAGAATGAAGTTAAGGAGGAGTTAAGGAGGAGGATAATCTCAAGCACACAACGAAATACAATTAGGTATTTCGATTATTCCAGTCTCTTTACTGAAAAAGGAAAGAGTAAGGAAAGGAGACCCGGTTGCCGGCAAATATGCTGCGGGTTAGATTCCCGCTCGAGACAAAAATCTGTAGATCACACAAAGAATTGTTCCGTGTTTGGTTGTGATAGGAACAAACTCCTCAATTGTTCAAAAGCGGAGATTCAGGGTTATTGATAATGAAACAAGTCATAACTTACCTCGTTATTAAGAAAGATGAAGTACATCTGTATGAAGATGAACGCCATCCTAGTGGCCGGTGTTAGGGCGAGGAGAACGTTATGGCAATTGGTATTCCTCTCCAACTCCCAATATTGTCCAAACTCCAGACCTGAGTAGATCATGGAACCAATACCGAATGCTGAAATAGAAGGAACAAACGTTTACTTACAAGTTATGTGATGTTTCGGACGAAAATAATGATACAGTACATTTTAACTCTCTATGCCAATATTAAAAAGAGGTAAAATTTGTAAGTTTGAATGTAGGGTGTAATCTTTGGAACAGCTGGCTGGATTGTCAAAATTGTTTCACTGATAGATATTCCAGAGTGCTATAAATTATATTTGATTTATATGTTTTAGTTAAAAACTGGTGTTAAAATCCTAGGATACACTAAAAAGCTGGTTGTTTTAATAAATGTGCACTTTTCATTCGTTACTGTTGGTCGGTACTCAAGCCAAGTAATGAATATTTTTCTGTACTGAACTATTCTTAATTTTATGCGGACTGCTGGAAAAAATAACAAATGAAATTGTAAAACTGTATTTTGAAAAGATTTTAGAAAATGTTGCTAACCATTTTTTTGTATTTTCTTTTTTTTATTTCTTGAATTTCTTGATAATTTATTAGACCATTCATCAATCACATAATATAAGATTGTTCTAGATAGCACAATAGAGCAAAATGTTTACGCAACATGCCTAAGTTGCCACCCAAAAAGACGAACATACAAAGTTTGCCTTTCATTAGAAACTTTGTTACAAACTAATCTAGAGCTTAGACAAAGCCTCGCTAAACGGCCGTGTTTACCTCGACTGCTTCGACACGCCAAATTGATTTAGGGAAACAATTACAGCAGTCATTTACCGTGAGATTAACGATACTTTGAGCATAGGCGCCGTAGGGGCAAAACCGAATATGTAGATATGTTTGCTAAGCATTAAATCTGATGTGATATCAAATAACAGGTATTGTACGTGTAATATTTTATATAATTAATCTTATATTGAAGTACGTATTTCGGTTATATAACGTACCTAAGTATTTCAGAACGTATAATTCTATCTTGGTATTTAGTAATTGATCATTGTCATCGTATTTTTCAGAATGATTTATTCCTATCATTTATTTTTCCGTAGATATTGAAAAGTCGACTAACATATTACAATACTTTTAAAACTGCAGTCTCCAACGCGCCTGCACGGCGTTTATGACAAATCCTACATACATATATAAATGAGATCCTTCGTCCAACAGTAAACCATCCATCCACCATGGAACCATCATTAATCTAAATATAGTATTGATAGTATTAACAAGGGACAAAGCTCACCAACTGCCCCCATCCTCAAATAGAAGCTCCCATAGTGATGTGTGCGTGACGCCAATGCGAAGCCGAGAGACAGCCGCTTGGCGGCCAGCTGTGGCGGTATGTGGGCTGCCGTGGCCGTGCTCCGCTCCGTGCGTGATGAACAGGAGTCCGATTCCGATGGAGATGAACTTGAGTCTGATTCTAGAGGAAGAAAAATATTTTTTTTATGTTATTGTTCGACAAACGAGTAGATGGATTACCTGGTGGTAAGCAGCACCCTTACGACAATCGCAATATCAAATGAAGTTACAAGTGCATTGAGTCCTCTTATGAATTATTAGGGATTTAGGATAGAGGATTTGAGGATTGAGAATGGGAGGAGGAATGATGGGCCTCTGGCAAACCTTACTGACACGGCGACACTCAACATAAGTGTTGCCTCACGCCGGTTTTTGTGAGGCCGTGGTATAACTCCGGTAGAGCCGGCCCATTCGTGCCGAAGCATAGCTCTCCCACACTTAAAATATAATTTTACCAAGTTACATAGTATATGTCAATAATAATGTAAAAAAATGATTTACAGTGCCTAGTTTAATACTGATAAAGTTTGATTTTCAGTTCTCAGTTTCTATGCAAAACTTTAGAAACTTCCGTAGTGCAAAAAGAACATTCATTATGCAAAAATATTCTAGCGTCAAATGTATTTTCATCAGACTCTTGCTTACATTATGTCATTTCTAGTGCTTGTCTACAGTGACGCGGTGTCCGTTCTAAGAAGAAAATATTATAACGAACCACCATCAGAAATGTAAATTGAGGATCTTATCACAAATTCACAGAAAGGGTCGAGGGTTTGAGCAATGGAGTAGACAAAAAATCGTAACAAAAAATAAGAAAAATAGGGGCATAAAATATCCGTAAAACACGCAGCCAGAGTAACACATTAGCTGGCATGTTTGTAGGCCCTCCACTGGGCTTTCCGCGTCATTTAAATAACGAAATGTGGAATCGCGAGGCTCGAGAACAAAAAAAAGAAAAAATCACCCCGCTTTTCCTCCGAATGTCGCGTAGATGTAAAAATAAAGGCGCGACGCATGATTGAAACAAAGGGAGAGCTAAAAAGCTGTTTTTATTCCTTATATCCTAGATTTCGGTTTTTTACGATAAAAATTGGGGGTCGAGGGGATTTTGGGACCGGGACCGCGGTCCCGGATTCCCCTTTTCAATTAAATATTTTTTTTAGTGGTATTTTGGGACCCCGTAAAAAAAAGAAGTTAAAGTACAGTTCACAAAACAAATTCTTTAATAATAAACAAAATAAGTATGTAGTTTCATAATTATTTAATAGGACAGAAAAAGACAAGTGTGCATACCTAGTAATATTTGCAGGCAGCTTAGAGTATACATACAATAAATACTCTAAGGCAGGCAGGTAGTGCTATCTCTCTCCCACACATCTATACTATCTCGCTTCACAGTAGAGCGTCACGGGTTTTTTTTTTTTTTTTTGTGAGGGGAAAATCATCAAATGACTTCTCCCGCCCAGAGCCGGGCAGGAGGGAGTGTCAGACTCTTACTGACTAAAAACCCCCCTGTTCCTTCTCCTGCTCTGTGCCGAGGTCGCGGTACCTTATTGCGCTTACCCCGCAGCCCCGGCACGGGTTGCTATTTGACCAATCACACCCCTTTGTCAGGGTTAACTAACTCGAATGCTTATCTAAATGAGCAGTCTTCGCGATGCATCTTTAAGTGTGAAGTGTGAGGTGACAAACATTTGTTGTGTGTTTTCATAAAAAAAGGTAAGTGTATGTCATTTCTTTTTAATTTAGAATTAAATTATTGTCTGTGGGTGTGCATTAAGTGACGTCTAAATATAAATACATAAATATATACTTATTTGTCAATTTGTCATATGAATATTAACATAAGAGAACTAACAAAGATGGATCAGACTTATGGAGGTGTGTAAGGCTAAGAACTCACGGAGCGGTTTTCGCCCGCGTCCGCTGCGGTTGCGGGCCCGCAGCTTCTGTAGGATTCAAATATTTATATAAAAAATTAAAGCACATTTCACGACGCGTTTTACGCCCGCATTGTACGCGGTTGTTTGCGGCTCCCGCTGTACCGGCGGGCAACTAGTACAATCGCGCGGGCCGCGGTTACCCGCAGCCGCGGCGGGTGGCACCCGCGCGCTTTGCGATCGGTTGGCGAGCGACCGCGGGGGCCGGCGGGTCTTCTGTGAAGTAAATATAACGCAACGGCTCGATTCTGGTGTGTGTCCATGGCGGTCTGGACCTCAACTGATCATTAACCGCCTGTCTTGCAATCTTGCGATCATCGCCCGCCACGTTTGCGGGCGATGATCGCAACCGCGGCGGCTGTGTAACCGCGCAAATAAGCGGTCTCGTGAGTTTGGAAATAAAACCGCAGTTCCGCTACCGCGGCGGGCACGGTTCAAAATCGCTCCGTGAGTTCTTAGCCTAACACAATTGTCAATACTTATGAGACTGATGCGAAATTATTTTATAAGAGGCTGTTGATTATATTTAAGTAATTATTAGCATGTATGCAAGACTGATTTTATATACATATTAATAGGTATAGCGGTTTTTGTTGTTTATTATGCTGTTGATTATTTTTAAGTTAAGACTATTGTCATTATTTTATTAGAGTAAAAATTTAAAACACTACTTCCGAGTGCTAACCAAGGCTGTGAGTTGATTATTTTGGATATTTTATTTAGAGAGACTTTTCTAATAAGAAGGCTGTGATTTTAAAAATAGAAGACATATTTTATAATTTTATAAAAATTGTTGTGAGACTGATTTTACTTATTACTAGCTGTCGCCCGCGGCTCTGCTCGTGTGGAAATCATTTCACTTAGGAGTGTGAAAAATAGATAGTAGCCGATTCTCAGAATATGCATACAAAATTTCACAAGAATCGGTCTAGCCGTTTCGGAGGAGTATGGGAACGAATATTGTGATACGAGAATTTTATATATAAGATTAGGTGTATAAGAACTTTCATATTTTTGTCAGTCTTTTGGCTTTTAATAGTAGGTACTTAATTGTTTTTAATATGTAAGTGTAGAGATTTTTTATTACTGCTGCCATGTCCTTACTAAGATACTGTTTATTTTGAACGTTAAATTTAGGTAAGAGGTTATTACGTGCAATTGCGTAGATGTAACAATAAAAACATAAATGTTTTTAAATTAAACTGTTGTACTTATTTAATTTTAAAACATATTATATTTCTTAAGTTTTATAATTATATTTCTTTATGAGTACCTAACTACATATTTTTTTATTCGAATAGAAAGCTGTGATTTAGAAATAAACGACAATTTATCATTGAATAAAAATAGTTTTATTTATACTAATTCAAATTATTTGGTTGACCGTACTTTCGTCGTAAGACTTACTTAACTTTTTTTTTTTTTTTTTTTTTATTTGTGGTCCCAAAATACCACTAAAAAAAAATATTTAATTGAAAAGGGGAATCCGGGACCGCGGTCCCGGTCCCAAAATCCCCTCGACCCAAAATTGGATTCGCTTGTTCTATTTTTGAATTTCATCTTTGAAAGTCCTGTTTCGGATTCAGCGGGAGGAAACGCCCGAGTGTCGTCATTGTGAGGACCACCTAGAGGATACGGTGGAGCATACGGTAGCGGTATGCCCTGCCTGGGCTGAGCACCGCCGTATCCTCAGGGAAGTGATCGGCGGCGGCGACCTCTCGCGCCCGGCCTTAGTCGAGGCCATGGTGCGGAGTGAGAGGAACTGGGACGCCGTCTCCTCCTTTTGTGAAGCGGTCATGCTCGCAAAGAGAGAGGCGGCCCGCGTGAGGGAGCAATCCTCCTCCTCACGCCCCAGCAGCCGCAACTGGCGACACTACGGGCGTCGGGGATCGAGGGACGATCTCCGGCCACCGTAAGTACGGGCCTGCGGTCGGCGAGTAAGGGCAGCTCGCCGCCCGACCAGAACCAGGCCCGAGCGTACGGCGCGTAGCGTTCCGCGCGCGCCTCAAAGAGCCAATAGACCACCACAGACGGGGCCCTAAAGGGCTGATGTTCAGCCGGGGCTGCGGGGTAAGCGCAATAAGGTACCGCGACCTCGGCACAGAGCAGGAGAAGGAACAGGGGGGTTTTTAGTCAGTAAGAGTCTGACACTCCCTCCTGCCCGGCCCTGGGCGGGAGAAGTCATTTGATGATTTTCCCCTCACAAAAAAAAAAAAAAAAATCTTTGAAAGTCATCGATGAAGTACTGTCAAAGTCAAATCAAGTAGAATAGTGCAAGCACTTTTGAACTTCAAAAAAAAATACAAAAGTTCAACTTCGTGTATGTCAGTGTATCGGTTTGTCCACTAATGAAGCTATTTACTCGTTCAAAAGTGGGTTACTCTTTTTCAATCAGTTTTATAATTAATTTCTTTGGTACATCATTTACTCGGTTCTATTGTGTGACAACAGAGTAATACTAATACACAATCGGAAAAAGAAAATAATGAACCAAAGGCTTTCATTGACCTCGTGAACGACAAAAACAGACACTCTTAAACACTCAGTCAAGAAATTACTTAATAGAATTTTAAAATACTCTGTATTTACATAACTAACACACAAACTTTAACATACGGATCGAATACCTAGTTCATTGTAGACGGAAAACTGAAATAGTTCCTCGTTACACCTGTAAAAGCAATTGGCGAAAAGAAAACGTCAAAAAGTCTAAATCTCTTTGAAGCAATGAAAAGGCGGAGGGCACTTTGTGCACGTTCTTCCTATCAGAGCATCTCCACCTCCACGTTGGTAATGATGCAATTTAGACTCGACGCCAAATCGAGATTCCAGCGCCATCTAGCTTGCATTTATGAAAAATTTGACAGTTAAAATGTAATATATTTTTAATGAAGTGAAGAATATTGTTACAGTATTTTATATTAGTTAAAAATTGCATCTAGTTTGACTGCACGGCTGGTGCAACGTTTCGCGGGATCGATTCCAACACTTTGTGTGATCCACAAATTGTTGTTTCAGGTCGCGGTGGTTTGTGTTGTGTTGAATATGTGTTTGTGACGACACAGGAGAAAATCCTAGTGGACTTTTTTTAAAGACAATTTTTTTTCAGTACGTATTACTATTTTTAGCAGCTTACTCGCAGCAGCGTGACGTTCGCCGCGTTCTTTGTCTCATATGAACCCCTAGCATGACTTGGAACTAATCGAGTTCCTCGCTAAACAGTTACGTGAATAGGTCATTAAATATAATAAATACTTTTCAAGTTTACTTTTTGGTATTTCTAATATTCGTACCATAAACAAATCGCATCTACGAACATGGTCCACATATACACAACATATGGATTGACATTGAGAATCTACTGTTATAACTTATATACTTGAATTGAACAATAGATATGACGCATTGAAGCTATTCTAAAACTAAACTAAACACTAAATTTTGCTAAGAAAATAATTATCTGCCTTCACATTCTTTTGAAAAAGAAAAATAGCAGACTATACTAACTTGCAACAACTGTGGTATCTGGAGCCGAAGATCTTGACCTGTCCCTGGCGAGAGCTGCATACATATACAGGAGGAACACCATACTACCGATGTACAGGTATAGGTAGAATCCCTGGTAACAAATAAATTAAATTAGTATTAAAATAATTAAGCCAAAAAATACTTAACTCGTACAAGACCTCGAGAGCAGTCAAGCTTAAAGCTACTATGTATAGGTACTAAAAAATGAAGTCAATATATCTAAAAAGAAATTACTTGTATAACAGTAACAACACCAGAGGTATCGTGATCATGACATCAAATAGCAAAATATGTATACTTTTAAGTAGTATACGTAATTATATTATTGCTGTATATATAATATATAGTATGTATATATATATAACCTCTCTGATGATGCTTGTATTGTGCACCTTTATATTTATCTCTGCATCATCCAAAGGTTTGGCTGTTAGAGAATGCCCATGGCATTAAGCCCACCTTCGTACATTTATTTTGTGCATAAAGATATTAAATAAATAAAAACCATATCAAGATAGAGCTACAGTGCCGGTCTATAAAGATTATGGCTAAACCCAATTAATTTGCTGATTATAATTTTCTGCACTTTTTTGGCTTGTTAACACAAGACTCGTCAACTACCCTAATGTAGACAGAGCACTAGACTCAATAATCCGGTATTTGAATTATTTGTAAGCAGGAAAACAATCGATTTCAGTCTAGCCGGTGGCTGAATTAATTTTAAGGTATTACGTAGAAGTACGTAATGGCTTTTACACATTATACCTACAAAAGGGGTCAATAACCTATCCATATATAGGAGTCAATGAACTTTCGAGTTTAATATTTAAGGGACTTTTAACTCAAGAAATCGATACCAGAAGTTTGCAAGTTAATCGCTTTTTCATATAACCCTTAATTACAGAAGGTTCTCAAATTTTAATTGTTTAACAGCAGGGAGAAGTCTTGATTATATTTCGTAGCAATTAAACGGTGTTATCAATAAACTCCTTTATTGGAAAAGTCCCATTTTCATTTACAAAATTAAACACCTACTATATAGATTATGAAAACGTCAACTCAACTCAAACAGCATCGTAATTTTTAATTTATTCTAAGTTGAAAGACCCTCTTTCAACTTAGAATAAATTAAAAATGACAATTAAAAATAAAACAGATTCATAAAAAGAATAAAAATTAAATCAGCCAGTCCGTTTAACAGCCTATTGATAGCCAAAATAAGCCGTATAACAGCCTATTGATAATAAATAAACCTCTTTTTAAAGATTGCAAACAAGTGACGTCACTAAAAAAGACATTCAGAGAATAATTTAGTTTAGTGGTTGATATGTGCGTCATAACTTACCTCATAGAATGAGGGCGGAATGTATGTGGAGATGACCTCAGCCATGGGGAAGGCGATGCCCATAACGACCAGCAGTTTCCCGTAGAGGGCCGACAGTGTTGTTGCTAATGCGTCGCTTCTGTATTGACAAAGAGAGAAGAAAATTAATCACCTTGTTAAGCTAAAACTAACCTAAAAGGCAGGTACAAAATATAAATTTGAAAACCCTACGACGCAAATAGTGTAGTTATTGGAAATGGAAACAAATAAAAAAATGTGTACGCACTCGACGAAAATAATGTTTCAGACATCGAAAAATATTGAATAAAGCGTTTAAATACAGAATTCATATTTTTTATAATGACGATCGCTTACAAGTCAATAAACATTATTAATATTATTGAATTCATTTGTTATATTTTATTTTATCTGACTTCGCCTAGATATTAGTTTATGTACATTATTTTGTTTTTATTTTTTTAATATTTATACCAAAGTTTTAATATTTTCTGTAATGTAACTTCGCATATTACAAATATGTTTTGGCATAAATGACCAACTTTTGAAGTATCATTTCCAATCTAGTCTTTTGGCATCTGAAACTTTAGTTAGATAAGTATGTTTTTAATAATACATAGCAAAAAAACTGGAAGGAAAGGTTCTTCAACACGCAGGTCCTACACATTGTTATTCATTAAACATAAAATTGTATAATTAATAATTCAGTTAGCGACCACTGGCTAATTGCACCAACCCTGGTCTTTATTAGATCACCCGACCTCCAAATAGGGTTGTTTATTTGCAATTTAGATTACAGGGTTGTAAAACATGCAAAATGATAATTGGTTCAGGTAAATAAAACAATTTTATTATGTAACTCACTTTTTGAGCTAACTTCCTTCTAAAAAAACCAAATCCAAATGAAACAAAAGAAAGACTGCACGGTTGGCGCGGTGGCTGGGCAATTGGCTGCCGCAAAACGTGTTGCCGGTTCGATTCCCCACGGAACAAGTCTTTGTGTGATCAATAAATTTTTAATTCTGGGTCTGGGTGTGATATGTGAGTGAAATTGTATGTTTGTAAACGCACCCACGACACAGCTAGTGTGGGGCAACGTATTTAAAAAAAAAAGAAAAATCAACAACCTGTTTCTGATGATGAATAAATGTTTTCATACTCGTTACGGCATCAAATACTCTGTACAATATGAGTATACATGAAGAAATTATTATTTTTATTGAAGTAACTGCCAGTTCGGTTCTTCGGGTACTCAGATACGTACTCAGTGCATCAGATACTTATATACCACTTGCATAGAAAATAGTGCCCTTAGTTGTTAATTATCTACACTTATCCAATCACCTGTGTTTCTTGGGAGTATGCAATCTCAAAATAAATGAGACAATCTTATCCCCTAAACAACAGACATTTTAAAATAGATCGTCACCAAATCTTAAGGAGATATATGTACAACGAGTAGAGATATTAAATAAATATCAGCTTTACACACGAACAAAACAACATAAGTCTAACAAGTTTATCGAAAACTAGATAGGTACAACAATACAATGCAGCTTCCTTGCAGAAGCCACACGTTCTCTATTTGTTTTATGAGCCAGGACCTTTGGGAGTACTGTCTTACTGCTTGCAGACCGCACCGTATCCCCCCAAGCATCGTAGACAAGAATTAATGGAGTTGCAGACTATTTTTCTAAGGGCTGATTTTTCAATAGTCAGATAATGTTATCTGAGGAATAAAATTGTTGCTGTCACTGTCTTATACAAACATTTTGACGCGACAGTCATAATTATTCCATAGATAACTTTTTTCTAACCATTGAAAAGTCAGCCCTATGAATATCTACACATTATTTATTTATTTATTTATTTAACACTTTATGTACATATCAAAAATACATACAAAGGCGGACCTAATGCCCGAAGGCATTCTCTACCAGTCAACCTCACGGGTGATGCAGAGAAGTGTTAACAATAGGTTCTAAACAAGCACACAAATTATTAAAAAGCATAGGCATATAAGGCAACATATACATATAAAACAAAAATATAATATATGAATACAATAAATATAACCTACAAATACACATATAACATATAAATAATACTTAAATAATATAATTACATTACTGAAATAGAATCGTTAAAATAGTATTAGGAAGTGAGAATTTTTATGTTATGTGTATTAAACAAACGACGTTTAAAGAAAATTGGACACGCACATTTTTTTTCCTGAATTGTTTCTTGATAATCGAAATATTTGTGTCGAAAGTTTTCAAACAAATATGTCTCTTTCTATATGATTTAAGAATCATTTAGAGAAAATTTATTCCTTTTTACGCCTTACAAAACACACATCCTACGAGAAACAAACAAATAAACTAAAAACAAACACCATTGACCTAAAGTAAAGAAAGATTTAGCGACAAGAGAGATTAAGTAAAGTTGACACCATCATTGAAGAGCTTATTCAGATCAAGTTAAGTACTAGTGCTTAACGCGACCGGGGCATGAAGCCACTGAATCCGATTAACTGAGACGGGGTATAAATATGGATGACGCGATGATGGTGTCAGTGAGAGGTCCCGTAATCTGTGACATAGCGAGTGCCCTCCCTTTGTTGCTGACCAACTTTGAAACGTTGTGTATATAACAATAGGAATCATAAAGGATAACTTTCAAGTTGCCACGGTGCGACGATGTGCCTTGTAGGTCGAGTGGTTAGTAACAGGGTTCCAAAGAGAGATTTGAAAAAAAAAAAGAAATTTGTAATTGCGTCTGGATTATGGCAATAAACATGTTATAACTGATTAATAGTGTGTGTTTTACGAAAAAATCTAACTCTGGTTAGCTCCAAAGGAAGGAAAAACATGCCGAATTTCCTTGAAACAACAATAACTCTTAAGATATTAATATAAAGCGTCAATAATATAACAGGTCACTTTACACAAATAGAGAAATCTTCTCCTTAAGAAGGTACTAAGAATTTAAATAACAATTCTCTTTTATTTCTTGCTTTCTACAATACAAGGTACTAGGTAATAACTTTTAATATAATCTAATAAATTCAACTAGAAACTATCGTTAATCACCTCGGTCGATTCAACGTAGAAACTTCATCCATTTATTCGATAACTATTCACCAGATCGAATTCTAGTGAACTATTCACTGGAACTAACTCCGATATTCGGAAATGTTCTCGCCAAATTCCTAATATCTAACTAAAGCAAATCTAGTAGTCCCGAAAGACAAGTTACCACTGAACAAATCGTTGATATGAACTGTCCGATCAGAACTAATCTCGACTATTCGGTTCTACAAATGCTGACATTTGCTATCGAAATCGACGAGGTAAAAAGTAGTAATTTTACAAATTGGGCTCGTTACTTTAGCTAAAAAACTAAGCTAGAAAGTTTGCGACAAAATGGAAAAGAAACGGATCTTTACAACGTGTTTTTCGCGATTATATTATCCCGCACGGGACAACTCTTTTTGTAATCCACAAATTGTTTTTCCGGGTCTGGGTATCATGTGTGTGTGAAATTTTATGTTTGTAATCGCACCCATGACACAGGAGAAAAACCCTAGTATCCAAAGTTTAAAAAAAAGAATTTTATGTAATGTTAAAAAATAAAAAAAATTACGCCTTAACTTTTAATTTTCGGATAGGTACCGAACAAGTAATCAGAACTGAGAAGTTTTATAGACAATGTCACTTCCAATTGTTTGTCTCTGCTTAAATATAAATTTCGTAATACTGCATTCAGCCAATGAGATAACTTCTTAATAGGGGCAAGGAGAGATACACTCCTATTAAAATCCGTCCCTATATTCCCGGTGCCTAATTTGCAGAAAACGTTTGGGGAGTCATTTGTTTTTATTGCATACCGCAATGACGAAATTCCGACTCCATGCACCTTACTAAATTGTTCAAGAACATCGTAACTTTCATGTGAATGTATGGCCCTATCCCGACAATTTGTTTTTCTTTTTATCTCTCTGATGTAAGTTCTACTAGTTCCCCTTCTACTAGTGCTCTAAGTGTTTCGTGGACAGAAATGTGATTTTGAAACTTGCTTTCATCTCTTGAATTAATATTCAGATGCTTAAGTGACTCTCTAGAGCTCACTTAACCTAAGTAACTTGACGATTATTCAATTAAGACTAATGAGAATAGAATAGAAAGACTAATCTAATATAAAGAACTAAAAAATAGGAGATGTGGTAGAAAGTCACAAATTAATGGAAATGTAGGAGAGCCATGTTTTGGCACGCTAAGGTTGGCTCGATTGGAGTTATACCACGGCCTCACAGAAAACCGACGTGAAACAACCATAGCGTTGTGTTTTACCGTGTGAGTGAGGTTATCGCGTGCCCAATTCTTCCCCTCTTTCCATACCTCCCCAATCCCTAAATCTCTAATCCCAAAAAGGTCGATAACGCAATCGTTACTCCTCTGTTGATGCGTGTGTCCATAGGCGGCTCTGGTCGCTTACTACTAGGTGTCCATATGCTGTTTAACCGTCCTGTCACATTTAAAAAAGACCTTATATACCTACATAAACGTTATAATCCAAACTAATATTATAAATGCGAAAGCATTTGTCTGTCTGTGTTTTCTTCACGCCTAAACTATCAAAATACTAAGTAATATTATAAAATGCGAAAGTAGCTTTGTCTGTCTGTCTGCCTGTCTTTTCTTTACGCCTGAACTATTGAACCTACCTATTTGTGTAAAAATTTGTACAGACGTAGTCTGGAACTGGAGAAAGGACATAGGATAGTCTTTAAACCAAAAATCAGCAGGAAGTCACTATACCACGCGAACAAAGTCGCGGGAAAAAGCTAGTATGTATATATTACAAAGTCCCAGCTGAGACTAGACTGTTACTAACAAATTCAATGACAGACAAAACAAAATAAGAATTACAAATACAATTACTTATTCGGGAGTTAATTTTCGTATATTGGAGTCAATAGCACAGTTTGTCTTATTCATGTCGATTGTCGATCTCTCTGAGAATCTATTACTGGGAGGCGATCTATCCATCAATGAGCTATATATTGTCGTCTCATGACAATGACCGCTTATATTACTCGCTACACGTGTTTTCCTACTG